TTTTAAACAATAAAGACAACTAATAAATAACCTAGCTTTTATGTGGGTATAAATTACATAGTAAAAGACGTATACATGTTTGTTTTAAACGTTTAATCTAAAAAAAATGTTTACCTCAAAAATGTTCTCGATAACCTGCGTTCTTTAATAAATTATAAAAGGTTCATTAAAAATGCCTCAAATATCTCGAGAATACAATCGCAGGTCAAATTTCCATGCACAACTTTTGAAACGAGACTACGAATGGTTCTTACATGGAAATGATACACACTGGCTTGTGAAGATAATAGAGGCTACGGTTTTTATTCGATTATAATGAAATTTGGTGTGATCATTTATTTTCATGAGATCATGGTCAAGTTCGAATTTGAAGATTTTTCGATGAACGCTTTTTGAGGTATTGCCCTTGGAAAAACGCATCAAAATTAACATTTGTTTGTGAACACTATAGAGACTACAGTTTTCATCCGATTTTAATGAAATTTGGTGTGATCATTTATATTGATGAGATCTTGGCCAAGTTCGAATTTGACTAACTTTCGATGAATGGTTTTTGAGTCATTGCCCTTGACTTAGGGAAAACGCGTCAAAATTTGTTTGTGAACACAATAGAGACTACAGTTTTTAACTGATTTTAATGAAATTTGGTATAATAATTTATATTGATGAGATCTTGGCCAAGTTCGAATTTGACGAACTTTCGATGAATGGTTTTTGAGTCATTGACCTTGACTGCTGGCAATTCTCTTTCAATTTAGCTAATTATGAATTAATTCTAGACAGGCAAACGGGAATTTTTCCAAGTCATGTCATTAGAACACCTTTACTTTCTATTGATATAAGTAGTAGCATTTTCATTTTCATAAATGAAAATAAGGGAACCCATCTGTAAGATCATTGATAAACATTATGGCCAGCGGTTATCTTTGGTGAGGCAATTCACACAAACCGCGAATATATCTATAATGTAATTAAGTTCAAACTATATATATTACATAAATACATAATGTCAATGCATATTATCTATTAACGATATTAGCATTTGAATTATGAAACTACCCAGGACTTCGATTTATGAAACGATTTTCATCATAAGCTATTGTCTATTAGCCTTATATAAGGTTTGTTATTTATATTGAATATTTCGTAGATTTCGTGTAGATTTATATAGGTAAGGACATCTTTGATTCTTTGGATCAGTTTTTTATCCATTTAAAGGGATTGAAAAGAGTTTTTCGGGGACACTGATATCATCAATTTGTACTAAGTATTTGTAACTAAGTATTTGATGGAATTATGCTTGTATGTTTGATGACGTCACTTATCGCGAATGGTCATATTGTGTGATCCAAGCATAATTTGCGATTAGTGACATCGTAAAACACTTAGTTTTAGTGGAATTGCTGATTGAAAATTGATAGAAATTAATGCTATCAGTGTCCCCGATACACATACGAAATTTAGAAAACCTATAATATTAGTACTTGACCACCACCTGAATTAAAAGGGAAAGAGGAAACTATATTGTAAAAATAGTTTACACCTCTACTTTATATATTTTAGAAATTCAATGATACTATATGTTTTTGCGCCAAAATAAGTGACGCATTTTGATTTCAACTTCGACAGTCCCCCCCCCCCCCCCGAGTCAGTTTGCCCTCTATTTGTACCCTTGGTCGCGAGAGGCTAGCGCCGCCACTGCTAACAGCCTCTTAAACATGTGAATCCAAAATTATACGTGTGTGCAAATTACATAGACGACTCGCCTTCTTAACCATTACTAAAAATTATATTGACGACTCGCCATTTTTAAGAGTCCGCCATAATGTTGTACGGTGAAGGACTGGATGATTAATTTTTTTTTATCTGTATACCATATTTCCTATTACAGATCTTATTGACAATTTTCAGTTACTAAATCAGGGACTATTGAAAAAAAATAGAAAGTTTTTTTTTCGAAGTGAGGTATTTTTGAAGAATTTATGCGAATTTCGTACAATTCTTGTACTTCTGAAAGTTATCGAAATGAAGAAATATTAAAACAGAACCTGAAACATGTTGTTACACAGTGTTTCAAGCTGTGAAATCTTCAGACAACTGACCTATTTCAGCCTGCGTAAATATGTCACTTGTCTGAAGATCGCACAGCGTGAAACTCTGATTGACAACATGTTTCAGTTTCTGTTTTAAAGGGGCTAAAATATGCATGTACTTGATCAAACTGAATTTGTTTTAAAAGGATTAATTAAAAACTGAGAGTACTATTGTTAATTAAGCAGTTTGGTGTTATAAAGGCTGTACGATTTGGTGTTTTGTTTTGCTAAAATTTGTACATTAGTTTTTCAACACCAACCAAAACACATAACGACGTTTTAACAAGGTTGGAGATTACGATATTACTGCGACCAATATAGCATAATATCATGTGATCAAGTTATCTCGTGACCTACTGTCCAATTTACCTAGTGACCAATTTAAATAGTGACAAATTTACCTCGTGAGCAATTTACCAATTTACCTAGTGACCAATTTACCTAGTGACCAATTTACTTAGTGACCAATTTACCTAGTGACCGATTTACCTAGTGACCAATTTGCCTAGTGATCAATTTACCTCGTGACCAATTTACCTTGTAACCAATTTACCTTGTAACCAATTTACCTAGTGATCAATTTACCTCGTGACCAATTTACCTAGTGATCAATTTACCTCGTGACCAATTTACCTTGTGACCAATTTACCTTGTGACCAATTTGACTGTGTTCCAGGGGAGATGTAGTGTTGACCAATCTAACTAAAAATTAACTAAAAATTAGATTACATTTTAGTTTAGTTTTTTTTTATTTTTCGACGGTCTACATTGTAATCTCAAAAGATTTGTACCAAAGCGGCGTTATACTGTTGACGTTCAGTTCATAGGCCTACTGCGCCAGGCAGAATCCGTGTCTAAATATCGACTATGAATTGTGGGATGTCGAAACCTAAAGTAGAGCTATATGACCAATGAGAATATGAGACTGCTGATACTCGCTTGTAAAAGTGATTCTGATTATCCGGAGAATGGCGTAGCTTGAAGCGTCAACAAGTCGTGACCTTGGTAAAATCTTGTTAGATTACAATGGAGACCAAAAAAAAAACATACGAAGTTGTAAAATTAAAAAAAACGAAAAGCAATTGTAATAATCAAAAAAAATAACGAAACGAAATTGTGAGCTAATTTTAATTTGATTGAGTGTTGACAATCTCAGTCGCACACTGTTATAATGCCAAATGACTTGAAGTATCAATTAACAGCGACCAGCCCTAATAACACTGATTCCAATCAAGTTAAGGAGTTGACTAGACTTTAAACGCCTCTAGTCTGATCTGTATCACTCTTTATAATTATGGCTGCACACCAAGTAACCCCAACCACCTAAATTAACTCGTCAAAATCGTTCGTATCACTCAAATCCGTATGTTTATCACCGTGCTTTTACTGCTGAGAGCACCCCCGGGCTTTTAACCATTGTTATGTGTTGAAGACGTCCGAGATAACGTTAGTCCGAAACATCAGCCTCTAATGCAGCTTCTGATGGATATTTTGATAGTTGTCGGCTGGAGTAGAGTCAGTTTTATGGGGATTTTCCACAGCTCTCAAGATACGTTTTTTCTAAAATAATACTAAATTACCTTTACGATGACTGTAAATTAGTGTTTGGCACCACCGTAACTTTCGTTTATCACGTGACTCTGTAACCTTTGAAAAAGCATTGATGGAACCGGAGACAAGACATATATGGTGTAGGGAGAAAATGATGGTATGACTGAACTACAAAAATATTCATCTTTTTGCAGATCCGATGTATCTAAGGTTTAAAACCCCTGCACCTGTGAAGATGTGGAAAATCTCCATATAACAGGGTCTAATTTTATTTGTCTCTAAACCAGCTGACATCTGTCTAAATAGCTATCAGAGGCTGGAATAGAGACAGATGTTTCGATCTAAGAAACCCGACTGATCTAAGAAAACCGACTGTGGGATTATTAGCAATATGCGCGTATATTATATCTTTAGACTATTATGCCCCATACGAAACTAAGTACATGGAAATAACACATACGAACGTAGTTCACAGCCATTTTGAATCATTTCCTCGACCCAATAAGTACTAGTGTACACAGCTTATCGTCGAAATTTGAGCCTTCAATTCCATGTGTATCCATAATTATTCACGTTTGAAAGTTAAAAATTCGACTCGAATTCTAATGAGATTATGGCATATATTATAGAAAACACATAATAGGAATAGACAGTGAAATTTCTAGTTTGAGGTATATTTGAAGGGATTATGCGATTTTCGTGCGTTTTAGTAATTCTTAAGACTATTAGAGCACAATAAAGATCAAAATCAATCCCCGAAATTGCCGACGGTTGTTCCCCATTAAGTACTACATGTATATGATTTATCAAAATTCGACTTCATAAGTCTAAAAAGAAATTCAAAATGGTTCGTGTATTTCCATGTAAGAACCGTACGTAGTTTCATATGATTTATGCCCCTTTAATCGATGTTAGCCCGAAGCGCATTGGAGTCAATGACACTAATTTCAATGTAATTAAAATACTATTTATGATAACCCTATATGTGTCAGGGTGACAAATTTGATTATTTCGGCTCGACACCCCGACCAGACAGTGTTCCTAATGGAATAGGTCTGGTGTCTACTATACCATTTCCATGGACTAACAAAACAGGATAAAGGATAAAATTACTATTCGTTTATAATTAGGAATGTTATAGAGTTATTTTAGAGCGTCTCGTTGAATACAATTTAAAGATTATGTTCTAGGAGAACAAAAAGGTGAATTATTTTGTAGTCAAATTACAAATTTGGACTAATACGTGTTTATAAATAGGACAAGGGATTGTAAAAAAAAGTTTTTTAAACAATTTGTATGTGTATAAGGGACACTGATAGCATCAATTTGCACCATTCCAATTCTGTGGTTCCTACAGTTCAACTAAAACTAAGTGTTTGATGACGTCTTTAATCGCAAAATATGCTTGTATCACATGATTAGTGACGTCATTATATACTCAATTTTTAGTAGAATTGCAGGGACCACAGACGTAGAAAACGTCTGTACAATCCCTTTAATGTAATGATATACGGTCTATATGACCATGTCTATAAACTAAATGCATTGGTTGGACATTGACAGTGAAATATTCTCCAGTTTGCATCCTGTGTGTTTAAAGAAGATTACTGGATATTATTATTATTGCTTATTAAGGGTTTAATTTATATTTTAAGGTAGAACAGTAGTGAAGATGAATCCTTTAAAGCCAATCTTCACGTGGCTGTGTATAGTTTCAACCATTGGTAAGTTAACATACTTGACCTTAAAGAGATTGTAAAGAGGTTTTCTAAAATTGTTATGTGTATCGGGGACTCTGATATCAATTTACACCATTCCAATTTTCCTTCAGTTGTTCCTTCAATTCGAACTAAATCTAAGTGTTTGATGACGTCACTTATCGCGGCCAAGGGCCTTTTGTGATAAAGCATATTTTGCGATTAGTGACTAAGAACGTAGTAGAACGTGACTAAATGATGGCAACTAGTAATAGCTTTGATTTTCAAGTCTTTGATGAGCTGAGATCGACTAAAAGCCATCGATTCACCAGGTTCTCCGCCAGTTGCATGCAGTCGTTGAAAATTCAGTTGCTTAGGCTAAACATGACCGAAACATAACGTTTTCCCAATGACAAATCAACTTCCGAACCATGTTTTTGGTATTACCGATAAACCTTATGACTTAATAGATATTTACATCAAATCAAAATGGCCTCCATCATTTCAATATGGCTGCCAAAAGGAATTTAATCATTCGTAAAACTTGTCATTGCAGGTGCTGATTTTGTGAGTTTGTGTTATTTTACAAATTGGGCATTTGAAAGGCCAGAAAGTGACGCCCGATTTTCCCACAAAAACATTGATCCATATCTGTGTTCACATTTAATTTATGCATTTGTTGACATTGACCCAACGGATTTAGTTTTATCATCGAAATCGCAACATGAAGAATCAAAATATAAAGAATTTAATAATCTGAAAACTAAAAATAAAGATTTAAGAACTCTCGTGTCCGTTGGTGGACAAAATGCCAAATCGAAACAATTCGCTGCAGTGTCTTCGAATATTCAGAATATCCACCATTTTGTGAAAACCAGTGCCAAATTTTTACGTGATAGGGGTTTTGACGGGCTAGATTTAGATTGGGAATATCCAACTAGAAACACTAAAGAACAATTTACCATACTAGTTAAGGTAAGTAGAGTTTGTCCATTAGAATAGTCTCCTTTGACTGTGAGTCAGGCAATAGTCTGTTACTACTAGAATAGTCTCCCCTGACAGTGACTCAAATAATCGTCTGCTATTATAGTCTGTAGAGTGGTCTCTCTTGACAGGGAATTAGGCAATCGTCTGTTACTACTGAATAGTCACCCTTGGCTGTGAATCAGGTAATCGTCAGCTATTACTAGAATAGCCTCCCTTCAGGTAGGTAGGTAGATGACAAGTTAACGTTCGCTTCCAGCGGATGCTGATATCGCAAACTCAGACAATCGTCTGCTATTATAGTCTCCCTCGACAGAGAATTAGGCAATCCTCTGTTACTACTGAATAGTCTCCCTTGGCTATGAATCAGCCAATCGTCTGTATGGTACTAGAATAGTATCCCTTGACTGTGAATCAGGAGTCGCCTGCTATCATAGTCTGCAGGGTACTAAAGAAATCTCACTTGACTGTGAGTCATGCAATCGTCTGCTATTATAGTCCGTAGGGTGATTGAATTGTATTCTGATGAATTACAGGAACTACGTAAAGAGTTTGATGAAGAAGCTATAGACTCTGGTAAAGAAAGGCTAATAATAACTATAGCTGTACCAGCAGGAAGAGCTAGAATTCTAGATGGTTATCAACCAGAAGAACTTGCCAAGTAAGTGTTTTTCTGGTGAGATCTTTTTAGATATAGGATATTATGACCGTTGTACTTAATAACCTTTTGAATGAGTTCTCAAGAGGTTTTCTAAAAACTAAAAGAATATGTGTATTGGGGACACTGATAGCATCGATTTGCACCCTTCAAATTTTCAATCAGACGTATGTGGTTCCCGCAATTCCAAAAATAAGTGTTTGATGACGTCGCTTATCGCAAAGCGCATTTTGCAGATGACGTCATCAAACACTTATTTGTGTGGAATTACGGGAACAAAGAACGTCTCGCTGAAAATTAAAGTGGTGCAAATTGATGATATCAGTATACCCGATACACATTTTTTAGAAAACCTCTTAACAATCGCTTTGAGGAAGCTCTATATGGAGACAAGGCGTTGCATTAGACCCTTTAACAGTAATTTTATAACTTATATATTTTTTGTAATATTCATTATCTATTTTACTCTTGAGGCGGAATATTTTACCATTAAAACGGTGCACTGAAATATTTTCTATTGACATATATTTATTGACATCTTTCATAAACTTATTTGTGATAACGGGGGTTTAATGACGTCGTAAATATGTCTGCAAAATATAACATATAATTGTGGTGGTTATCATAAAACAGATATTTCGATTTTTATACTTCGATATAACCTAGAGCATATTTATTCTAAATATAAAAGACTAAGATTAGACTAGGTCTATATGCCCAAGAGCGGTTCATAACGTCAGCCAGGTACACAGGACAAAATTATTAGTGTTACGTGTCAAAAATAACACGAAATGAATGAAGTTTTACGTCCTACTTTTCTACATCATCTGGTCTAATGAAGACGAGCAACGATATGCAGTGTGCAATGAGGGAATTTTCACAAGGACAGCGGCATTTACCTGGTTTTTTTTCGATTCCCAACTGTTCAGGGATCTTGGGGACAGGACCGGGAGCGGGTGGTTTGAATATACTTAAAAAATCTTCAGTAATAGAAATTTATTGAAATCGCATAATTTCTTCAAACATACCTCAAACTATGAATTTCACTTTCTATTTATATCATATCTTATTGTTCGCGTCAATATTGTTATTGCTTAGTCTCAAGAAAAGACGAGTCGTCATTGTAACTTTCAAACGCTGATAATTCTGGACACATTTGGATTTCAAGGCTCAAATTTCGTCGGTGAGATGTGAATACTATTACTGATTAGCTTAGATAAATAAATTCCTGTTTCTGAGACTATGGTATGGTTGGTCATACGGATAACGAACCTGTCCATTTAAGTGAATCAGATGACAACATCCCTTCGAACTGTGACTTCAGTTCTTAAACTGTGACTTCAATATTTAATACCATAACATTCTATCTTTATTTTACAGGTATGTTGATTATTTCAACGTTATGGCGTATGATTATTTTGGTCCTTGGAATCGAATCTCTGGTTTTAACAGTCCACTGTATCCTCGTGATTCCGATACCAGATTCTCACCAGAATTAAATATGGTAACTTTTAATTCCATTTTTACTATAGTCCGAAACATCTACCTCTAATCCAGCCTCTTGCTCGCTAATCTGAAGGTCCAAGATTCAATTCCGGCATAGGTTGAGATAATACCTTCGGATTTTTCAACATGGTTTTCCCCTGTCAGTGTTGCAGGTAAGAGGTGCTGACATGGGGACAATAAACTGAGGCCCGTGTGCTACAGGCTACAGATCCCCCGAAAGTTGGAAATCGAAAAAGAGCAGGCTAATGCCGCTGTCCTGGCAAGATTTCCCTCATTGCACCCGTCTTCATTCGCCCATAATAGCTATCAGACGCCGAAATATAAGCAGATGTGTTGGTCTACCAAGCTTCTATAAGCACAGAAGGCCTTTCGCGATTAGTGACGTCATCAAACACTAATCGAGAAATGCCTAATGTGGTAAAGCATATTTTACGATGAGTGACATCATCAAGCTCTTCTTTAAGGAAGAATGGCAGAAACCACAGACGTCTGATTGGAAATTGGAATTGTGGAAATTGATGATGTCAGTGTCCCCGGTACACATAAAAAATTTCTTTAAGAAAAAGAAATTGGTGAACTTTGTGGATTCTGTGAAGGTGAGAGGGTCTTAAGACGGCCTTCTTCGGCATTCGTCTGTTTGATGACAGCGTCAGCCAATCAAATTCCATCCCTCCCCAACACTGGTAACAAAAGGTGTATTCTGAGAAGCATTAGACTCTGAATGCACCTTTTGTTCGCGTCACAGAATCCTAGCGTTCGAGAAAGTTTAGTCTAGTTTTAATCAAGGCCGTGGCTATTCGTACTGCGACGGTACAGAAATTGGCATTTTAATAACGTATGGCCATCCCTACCTTACCCTAACAAAGTCACTTAATATCATTATTGACAATCAAAATGGCTTCACGCTTAAAAAAAAAACTAGCGCGCCCATTGTGTCTTATCACACGCATTGTGACGGTGCAAATAGCCAGTGCGTTTAATTAAACTGGCTAACTCTGATGTAATATATTTTCAGCAATGGACAGTAGAGCAATGGATACGTCTTAAAGTACCAAAAGAGAAGATCGTGGTTGGTATGACTGGAGCTGGGGCAAGTTTTATACTCAATGATACCGACTCACATGGTGTTGGTGCAAAAGTAGATGGTGGTGCTGAACCTGGTCGTCTGTATAAATTTGAAGGTCGCCTGGTATACCCAGAGGTGAGTAGACACACAATAGGTTTTTCGATCGCCAACCCCCCAGAATTGAGGGTTCAAATAGTGGGCAGACTGACTCAAAAGGGGAGGGGGGTTACTGTCGAGTCAGCGGCTCCTACATGCCGGGTTATCCAAAATTTTCTAGAATTGAATTGATTCGGTACATTATGAAACATTTTTGGGCAAAAAAGTTTAAGAATCTTATTTTTGAATATGTTAAAAATAATAAAGTGGGGTGCATGCCATTATTCTAAAGGGGGAGAGGATATTCTAGTGAAGGAGTGTTCGCCTGTGGATCTATCTTTTAGAATGGACATAGAATGAAAAGTCTCGAACTTGGTCAATAAGAGTATATTCAACAGTTAGACTTACCAGGTGTCATGACTAAACTATATAGAATCTCTATATAAGATGACGTTTCTAAGCATGTTTCAAAATTACTTAGTTTAATGAATTATTACTTAGTTTTATGGATTAATTAGATTATAGAGATTCTGTTGTATAGTTTTATAACACCAGGTAAGTCCACTGATGAACAAAGACTCATTTTAACCAAGTTTCAACATTTCAATTTGTTACTCATCCTAAGATGTAGTATAACTTTAAGTGACATTGCTGATGAAAATACTGCTGTTGGGGATATTGATCGTATGGTATATTATGCTTATCGTTTCAGATATGTGAATTAGAACAGAATGGTGGAACAGTAGTGTTTGATACAGAACAAAAAGTACCCTATCTATATAAAGATGATTTATGGGTCGGGTATGATAATCCCAAGAGTATCAAGGCAAAGGTAAGGGACGGCTCATATTGACCTCAGAGGCTGAGCTGGAGGACCTAGGACCAGTGGACTTAAAGGGACGGGGTGTTGATTTGGGTGTTGAATATATATAAAGAATCTTCAAGTCCTAGAAATGTACCTGAATCACATAATTCCTTTAAAAATTAGTGACGTCATCAAACATTTAGTTTTAGTAAAATTGCAGGAACCACAGACGCCTGATTAAAAATTGGAATGGTGCAAATTGAAGCTATCGGTGTCCCCGAGACACATAAACAATTTAGAAAACTTCTTTACATTCCTTTTAAAGGAGCAGATGTGAGTTGGGGTCCAGGGAATTTTTTCTGAACATAATATGCTCTCTGTAATCTGCATTTTTTTCTGGGGTGGGGGCTCGTGGACTTGGTTAAACCAGTCCGTATGGTAGTTGAGGTACTGGTACAGCCCGTAGTTGAGGTACTGGTACAGCTCGTGGACGGACTTAAACCTGGTGGCGCCTTAGCATAAACTTAACCCTTTTGACGTAACTTGATGACGTCTGCTTTAACCAATCAAAATGCTACCCTCTTTAAAGCTAGCATTTTTGGTCAATTTGACGAACGTTCAAGAAGGCTGTCGTTAGACACTAGCTGAAGTGGCTATATCATAAATAAAGCTAATAAAAAAAAACGGAACGAAAGTTTGGTCTAATTTTAATCATGTCATTAAGTATGATTTTTTTTTTTAATCTCAGGTAAAGTGGATGATAATAGAAGGATATGGTGGAGCAATGTTCTGGTCCCTGGACTTCGATGATTTTTCTGGAAAATTCTGTAAGAAAGATAAATTCCCTTTATTAAAGGCTATGCAGCTGGAGATCAGTAAATATACTAAAAAGCCAGTGTATACAGAGCATCCTAAAGAAGTGTTTGGTCGAGATGTTGAGAACTATGGATTTCGCTCAGTGCAGTCCTGCGTAACTCTTGTGGTTTTTGCATTGTGTGTTGCGTGTATTCCTTTTAAATTTGTGTAATTAAAGTTGCAGTTCCTGAAAATTAAATTTTTCATAGGAAAAAAGAAAAAACCGCTAACAGAAACAATCTTATTTAAAGGGATTGTAAATATTTTTCCTGAATTTTTATGTGTATCAAGGAACACTGATAGCATCAATTTACACTATTCCAATTTTCAATCAGATGTCTGTGGTTCCTGCAACTCCACTAAATGGAAGAAACGAAGTGTTCGATGACGTCACTAATCGCGAAAGGCCTTATATGATCAGCATATTACACGATTAGTGACGTCATCATACTTAGTTTGAAAAAATAACGAAACGAAATTGTGATCCAATTGTAAGTACATTGGCAACGAATCGACAGACTCTAGTTCCTTGGTAGTTGTTAAGTCGGAAAATCGTGATCGAGTTATCTCCCTTTTCAGACTAGCGCATAGAGTTAATGATATATCACTTTCTGACGTAAAGACCGATTTGCGTATTAGCGCCACCTCGATTTGGTACTGGATTTACCCCCCATTACATACTTCGTGGCGTTCTTAATCATGTTATTATTCATATTCCCTATTCTAAATTGATACAAGATCCGTATAGTTGATGGAACCGAACTATTCAGCGGTGGCGTCACTTCCCGAGACTGGGGGACAACTGTGAAGGCTGAATTCAAAATTCGGCAGATCTCTCGAGGCGTCTTGTCGCAAGCCTCTCATGGAACGTCTGAAAGGGTTCTCCCAAGAAAATTTTCGAAAAAATGAATTGATTTTGTGCATTCTGACTCATAAATTAGGGCAAAAACATATAAAAATATTATCTTTGAAATTGTTGAAAATAAAGTTGGGGTACAATTAGGGGTGCAAACCATTTTTCTAGCAAAAGACCCCCCACCCCCTTCCACGCCTGTACCCCAACGGCGCCGCCACTGGAACCATTGTATATACATTGTGTGTGATTATTGTCATTTTACCAAGGTGATTCCATTTTATCATTTTTTGTTTATAAATTTGTTATTTATTTATTAAAAATTTTCAACTTTTACTCTTTTATAATCCTTCTTTTGTCTTAAAGCCCTGATTCCCAACCTCGGGTGTTTTTCACCCCCTGGGGGTGTGGGACTAGGGTGTCAGGGGTGTGACCAACTGGTGTAGGAGAAGAATTTGTTTTGAATTGAGAGAGCACCTCACATCATCATACGCTGGAAATGTGGATGAAACAAATTTCTGGGTTGTAAAAGGTCCAGGTGATTGCTCCAGGGGTGTGAAGGCTGAGAAAGATTGGTAAACACTGTCTTAACGGGACAGATGCACCATTTTCGCGCTATGTGTGTCTTGAATATATGAAAATAGCCTTCTAAGTGCTCCAAACGTACTAAATCGCAAAATTCCTATAAAAATAACTCAAACTGGGATAAGACGGGTCGTCTTTTTAACTTTCAGGTGCGGAAAAATGTCCGAAAATATGTATTGCAAACGCGATGTGGGTCTTGAATAATATGTAAATAGCCTTTAGAAGTGCTCGAAACGTACTAAAATCGCATAATTCCTTTAAACATAATAATACTATCCCCCTTAAAGTGATACTACCTCTTAGAATGGACGTAAAATTTAAAGCCTCAAACTTGGTCAACAAGAGTATATATTCATCAGTTGAACTTACCAGGTGTTATGACTAAAGAATATAATCTCTATATAAGATGATATATCTAATAAACTAAATAATTATTGAAATACTAAATTTCTTAGTTTAATGAATTATTACTTAGTTTTATAGATTATTACTTAGTTTTATGGATTTATTGCATTATAGAGAGATTCTGTTGTATAGTTATGACATCTGGTAAGTCCACTGATGAACAAAGACTCATTTTGGCCAAGAAGATAGCTTTAAGGATTGGTGATTTGCTTCTCCGAGAGATTTTTTTGTTAAAAACTCTCATGATTATCAAATCACATAAATGTTGTGATAAGTAATAGAGGCCTAACCTAATTTCGTGCTAACCTATTTTCATGCATCTCCGGAAATGATTAATGATTTACATGTGCGACCCCACCTTTGCTTGTTTCGATAAACATGGGTTATCTCTACAATGTCAGCTAGTAGGATGAATCCAGTAGTTTCAAGCAAGGTCAAATGTATTAATGTATACTTTGACAATTACAAAATGGCGGATTTCACTTATTACCAAACGTCACAATTTTATATCGGCCGAAGGTCCTTATAATCCCAAGCTGTACTCGGAATTTGTCGTCTGCTAGAATGTAGTCCAACGAATGAAGTCAAGTGATCAACTAACGGATTCCGTGTCAGCAGAAAAATTCTATGGAACACAAAGTGGGCCGTATATATGTTAATTGTTACTATGACTTTCAGCAATAAATCACGCTACGTATCCTATCTTATTTTGTCATTCACTATTTTTTTTTAAATCGTGGTTCTTTGACCAATTGTCACGAAAATAGGTGACGCATTCTGTCGCCGTTGTCGAGTTGGTTACTCAAGAAATATGGGTGAGAGATTCATAAAGAAAATCTAAACAAACCAATTTTAATTATTTTGTAGAATATCTGAGCAAACATCTAAGACATGAAAAAAAATTTCCGTTTTTTTAACTTAGACGAAATTCGATGTTGAATCCTTATATGTACGAAAATAGGTTACCCCACTGTACGGGTAGCTAGTATCGGGTGTTAAGATTAGACGCATGTATCACTTTTCCAAAACAGAGCGTTTACTGTTGAGGGGACATAACTCTAGTTTAGTAAACAAATAAAAATGGCGTCGTTTTCACACAAAATTTGAGGAAAAATATTTCTCCTTTGTTATTTCTTGATTGGTAGGTTATCATCAAGTAAATTTTGTTCAAAATCCTTTAATGATCGAATGGCTAGTCGTCAGTGCTGGAATCGAAAGCATTATTAGAATTTGAACCCCCAAACTCGGTTCGTTATTTTTCATTTTGTCCAACTTGGAATTGCGTTTCAAAAAAGGGTGTTCGGAGAAACTGGGGAGTTATGGAGCTCAATTATATAATTCGTCTGGTCAGTCAAAACAAATTTAAGAAAAAATATTTCTATATGTTTTTGCCCCAACATATGTGTCAGAATGCACCAATGACCAATTCAATTCAATTTTAAAGAATATTCTTTGATGCACCATGAGAGGCTTGAGACTAGGGGTAGGATGCCTCCACAGAGTTGCTGCGTCTTTGTCCCCCAATTGAGTCAATATTTCCCCTATTTGTATGAAGGCTGGCACTGCCAGGCTACAAATAAGGAAGTGTTAGAAAACCTGAGAATTTGTCAGTCATACCAAAATTTTCTCTTTTGTGAGGAATTTTATAAAATGACAAATGGGCCCCAGGAAACAGTGACAGCGCATTTGCCCCCTACTTTCTAATTACACTGTTTTCTGAATTGATATTGACAATCATTTTCATATACTATTTTCTTAGATTGTCTTTGGGTTGATGAAAATGATAACCATTGGAAATTGGGGAATTTTTAGGCGGAAAGTAGCCTAGGTCATTTTCACATGAATTTTCTGAGAGGGAAGTGTGTCTATTTTAAATGTAAAATCACTGAACCTTATATTTCTATGGACCTGAAGACATTCGTAGATAAATGGTTTATAGTTGAAAATTTTATTTTGAATATTTATGAAATGAGAAAAAAAATGCAATTCAATGTTCAATGTAGTCAGAAAGTAGAAAAATTATTTGTACCCCCTAATTGCAAACTCCCTACAAATTTTCTACCAATTTTACAAACATGTTTTTATACATTTTGGCCAAATATATGTGTCAGAGGGCAGCAAATCAAGTTCTATTTTTCAATGATTTTCTTGGGAGAACCCTCTCAGATGCTCAGTTAAGGACCTTTTGCTTCCTTCCAGATCTGTCTCATTTTGAACCACATCCTGGAAGTTTGTCACCCCATTTAATCAGCCTGCCCCCCCATTTAATCAGTCTGCCCCCTTTTATGTACGCCCAGTCTTGGAAGCTTGGCTTGGCTTGTAACAAATTTATTCATCCTTCTCCTTTTTTTTCGTTCAGGATTCCAGTGACCAATAATGGATTTTAGAGTTCCATCATCATATGGTGCTGATACCATTCCATCAATGTCAGGAATGCCTGGTGATTTGATGGATCCTAACATGATGCCTGGAGAATTCCATGGTAACCAGATGTACCATCCACCAGCTAACCCAACAGATGCCGAGTTCCATGAAATGACTAGTGTATGGATGGATGGAGTAGGCAGATATGCTGTCACTAGTCTCTGTTTTGATACTCAAGAGTTGTTGTGGGCTGGCAATCAAGGTGTAAGTAAGCTTACCTAGGCACAATTTCATATTTTTATCATGCTTTTAAAGCATTTGCAGAATGAATTTCTTACATCTGGTTAGTCTACAATTAATTATTTAATGGGGCAGTATACAAAATTGTTATCAAAAATGTTTGTACCTAGAAATATTTCTAAAGTATGCTATTTATATGTATACGTATCTTCTTGATCAAACTGAATTTGTTTTTAAAGGATTAATTAAAATCGGAAAGTACTAATTGTTAATTAAGCAGATTGAATTAGTTTTGGTGTTTGGCTGTAAAATGGCTCGAACCTTCAGAATAAGTAGAAGGCATTTTGTCTACAATTAAGCGTTTGTTTTTCTTAAATCTATACAGTAGTTAAATCTTACACCTTCAAAAAGGCAAAGCAAACTTAAAAAGTTTACATAAACATTTACATTTTTAAATAGTTTTGGTGTTAAGATATTAACTGCTGGTTTTTTTTGGTCAAAACTTACAGATATGGACACGTTTCTCCAGATTTTTCACAAATTTTGAGCAAAACATTTTTTGACCCTTTAAGTGTACTGTCAGAAGTGAAAAGTCTAAGTTACTGGAAGACTAATTCATTACATAATATCAATTCTTTCATTTTTAGGGATATGTGGCATCGTATGGAGGAATGAACTTGCAGAAATATTCAGCTTTCCGTTCACACATGACAAATGATATTCGCCAGATTTTGACAACTGAACAGGGAGTTATTTCTCTAAATAGAAACAGTCTACGATGTTCAATACGAAGAGGACTTTCTGTGTTCACATACACGTAAGTTAATTCCTGCCCCTTTTAGCTAGCGAGCCGTGGTTGCTCAATGAGTTAGATGCTTGCTTGCTTGCTAACCTGAAGGTCCAGAGTTCAAATTTCAGATATTTCAACCCAGTTTCCGTCTGTCAATGATATAGGTAAGAGGGACTGACATGGAAAAAGCTCCTAGACGTTCGGATTGGACAATTAACCATGGCTCCATGGGCTATAGGCTATTTAACATCATTCATTCATTCATTCATTGTTGTCATGATCAGAATAAGGTCAAATACATAAGGACTTGGTCCTATTTTACATCATTCATTCATTTTCCAGTGATACATTTATTATTTCATTCATTCACTCAGTTTCCAGTGATTCATTCATTCCTTTCCAGTGATCCCCAGATGTTAGATATGCAGTGTATGATAAGAACGTCACCTACGTCACTGTTAGTTGGAGGACATCAGAAGAAAGCTTTTGAACTAGATCTGAATAAAGTACAGCTGATAAATGAGGTAGGAAAAGTGTGCAAACTAAACATCTTCTGATAGGCATTTGTTGCAGATGTCTGTTGCCAATGCAAATCTTGAGTAAAAGACGAAACAAGATTATTGTGTCGCCAACAGGATTTATAATATCAAACAAGTTTGATATTTGTCGCTGATAGTTTTACCGTCTGCAAGATAGACCAGCATCATCTAATCGGATTCATTTTCCTTTCAATTTCATGGTCCATACGACCAACTTGAGATTTTTTTTCTCTTAGTGTGTCTGCAGCCGGTCAGTGAAACTTTTGACCAGACTCTAGTCTGCAAATTTTTATCGTCGACTGAGACTGTTTGTGTGCCAGCTCAGCCCCGTTGACAGGAATAGAATGAATTGGTGCTGGGGCGCATATTTTGTACTCAGAAAATTTGAAGAATTAAAGACTTAGAGAACTCATTTCTGACAATTTGAGGTGCCAAAAACGTATCGAAATCTATATCTTTTTGATTTTGTATAAAGACACTGTAAATGAATTAATCTCTGCTGAACTGAAGAAGGTTTTGCTGGGACTTAATTCTCGCTTGCTGGGGCCCAGCCCTCAAGGACACCACCCTAATGACGCATTAGACAAGAAAATTTCAAGTGCCAGTCATGTCACTGCTGTGTTCAGTTTACTCCATTCCCCACTTTGATATGTTTCAGTTTGAAATGAATGATCCAGGTTGTGCTATTTTAAGACAGAATAGTAAATACTTGTTTGCAGGAGACACGAGTGGAAAGGTAACTTTTAAAGGGACAGATGCCCCATTTTAGGGGTTTGATTTGAGTTTTGAATATAAGTAAATAGTTTTCAGAAGTACAAGAAAAGTACGAAAATGACATAATTTTAACATTGAAATACAGATAATTCTGGACAAACATGAATTTGAAAGCTCAAAATTTGACAGTGAGTTGTGAACACTAAACTGATTGGCTTAGCAAAAAAATTCCTGTTTCTAAGACTAAGGTACCCAATAGTGATTAATGAGATAATAAAGAGGTTTTCTAAATTTTTTATGTGTACCAGAGACACTGATAGCATCAATTTGGATTAATACAATTTTCAATCAGATGTCAGTGGTTCCTGCAATTCCACTAAAATTTAGTGTTTGATGACTTTACTAATCATAAAATATGTCTTTGTCTTTGGGAATAATGAAACAGTTAGTTTAAGTGGAATTTGCTGGAACTACAGACAATTGACATGGAAAATTGGAATGGTGCAAATTGATGCTATCAGTGAAAACCTCAGAAAACCTCTTTACAATCCAATAATTTGATGTTTCACTTGATGAAATTTTGGGCAACACGTTGCATGATGGAGCAACTCTTTGGCATTAGAGTTGTGATGGGTTGACTTATGTTTTGATAGGGATAAATCTTAATTTGAATTGATTTTAGGTAACCCTATATGATGTCAAGACTATGAAAGCAGAACATGTATTAGATGCTCATTCTGGTACTCTCTCAGATTTTGATGTTCAGGGGAATCTTATTATTACTTGTGGATTTGGAAATCGGTAAGTTTTTACTTACACTGGCATTGGTTTAAAGGGGCATTCTGCTTTTTTTGTAGAGCGAAAATTTTTATGTCTCAAATTTGTCCGAAAACTATACACAAAAATCTAGAGAAATGTGTTCTTTAACATATTTGATAAGTTTAACTAGATAATAGTACAAAGGTTTTCTTAATTTTTTATGTGTATCGGGGACACTGATAGTATCAATTTGCATCAGTCTAATTTTCAATCAGATGTCTGTGGTTCCTGTAATTCCACTAAAATTAGGTGTTTAATGATGTCACTTATCCCGAAAGGCCTTATTAGATATAGCGTATTTTGCAATTAGTGACATCATCAAACACTTACTTTTGGTGAAATCGCAAGAACCGTAGACTTCTGATTGAATATTGAAATGGTGCAAATTGATCAGTGTTCCCAATACACATAAAAGATTTAGAAAATCTTTTCACAATCCCTTTAATTCAATTTATATTAAAATAATGGACAAATGTGATTTTGAAGGCCATACTTAACCAAAATTATATGTTTATATTGCAGGATGGGTGCTATGACAGCTGATAGAATATTAATGGTCTATGATATGAGAGTTATGAGAGCTGTAGCTCCTATACAGATAGCTATTGATCCTATGTTTCTTAGATTTGTCTCAGCCTATTCCAATAGACTTGCTGTTGTCTCTCAGGTAAGTGTGAATTGCTGTTGTCTCTCAAGTAAGTTTGACTTGCTGCTGTCTCTGAGGTACAAGTGACTTGCTGCTGTCTCTCAGGTACGTGTGACTTGTTGTTGTCTCTGAGGTACAAGTGACTTGCTGCTGTCTCTCAGGTACGTGTGACTTGTTGTTGTCTCTCAGGTACATGTGACTTGCTGCTGTCTCTCAGGTACATGTGACTTGCTGCTGTCTCTCAGGTACGTGTGACTTGCTGTTGTCTCTCAGGTAAGTGTGACTTGCTGTTGTCTCATAGGTGAGTGTAACTTGCTGTTGTATGATATGATTTGGGTCTTAAATACATGTAAATAAGAAGTTCTAGAAATGTACCAAAATCTCATAATTCCTATACAAATACTTCAATCTAGGAATTTCTATTTCTATATATTTCTTTTCTATATAACACAGAGTCTCAAGACGAGTTGTCTTTTTAACTTTCTAACACGGATAATTCTGGATACACATGGATTTAAAGACTCAAATCGCAACAGTGAGCTGTTGACAATATTACTGATTAGCTCAGCTAAAAAAAATCCAGTTTCCGTGACTAGGGTATGATCTGTCATAAAAATGGTGCATCTGTCCCTTTAATACTAGAAAAATAGCTGAAAAAATTCCTGTTCGGTGACTGATGTATGATTGGCCATTTTAACTTAATAATATTCTTACAGAATGGAAGTTTTCAAGTGATAGAAACTACTGCTATGAAGCCACCAAATATGATGTTATATCAAGTTAATAGTCATGGAGCAGCCATTATGAGTTTTGATATTTCATCATCATGTCAATCACTGGCTTTTGGTGACAGCTCAAGTAAGTTGATTCAGCTAGGTCATTGTGGATGGGCATAGATAATCTGGGAAAAGTCATTGTTATTCACAGTGGCAGCGCCACTCTCCTGAGACTCCACGTACAAATAGGGTACAGACTAACTCAAGGGGGGACAACTGTGGAGGCTGAATTCAAAATGCGGCAACTCTGTGGAATCGTCTGTCACAAGCTACTAATGGAATGTCTGAGAGTGTTCGCTCAGGAAAATTTTCAAAAACTGAATTAATTTGGTGCATTCTGACACATTATTGAGGGCAAAAACGTATAAAATGAAATAGGGATACAATAAGGGATGCAAATCGGTTTTCTAGGGGTGGCAAAATGGACTGGTTGTAGCATATCTAAGCTCCACCCTCTGTTTGGTTTTTATTTTTAAGTTATCCCAGTAACAACAAATTGCTGAAAATAGACCATGGTTTTAAGCAAATAATTTCTTAAAAACATCAATGGAACAAATGCAATTTATATTACAAGTAAATGATTTTGACCCCTGATACCTTATCAATAAGCAACAGCAGATTGAGGGTGAATGTAAATATGTCATCATCTTATTAAAATCTATTTCAGGCTATGTCCATTTATTTAGTACTGGTGAACATCCTTGTTTTAATTTTAATCCTGAATCTACCGAATTTACTGATCATGTGAGTAGCCATCGTGTCCAAACCACGCCCCCATTTGTTATACTTCCTTGTGACCATGGTAATACAATACTCAATTCGCTACTAACTTACCATTGTATGGGTTTTGACCGGTATTAAACTAAGTCCACTACACTTTGTTTTGGGGGCGTGGAAATGATATTGGTGCTATTTAAATCTGACCAGAAACAGAAATGAGGTTATGCAACACATTCTTTCCAAGTAAATATTCCAAAGTAAGGTTTGATTTTCTCTCGGCTTCAGTTCTTTACCAAACATCTTACTAGATTCTGTACCGTACATATTAATCAAAATATGTAAAGGCACACTGTTTTCGTTTACAAAAAGTCACACCAGTTGAATGTTTTGATTGGCTGAAACTTTGCTACGAATACAGTAGGTATTGCCACCAAAACTGCAATACAAGAACATGTACTTGTGGTGAACAATTTGATATATTTTTGTAGGTAGAACATATTGATCCTATACATATTATGGATGAAAGAACCCCATATTCTATTATTCCTATGATGTATCCCTCTAATGGTCATTTATTATCTGACTGGCCCCACCATTTAACTCAACAAGTTTATAGGTAGGCTTTCTTTTATTTTAAAACTTTAAGTTAAAACGCTGAATAGGGGGCGCTCGATTGGTGGGTTCTGCACATACCGGTTTCATGGAACCAACAGAACGTTCAAAGTGTGCCAAAAAATTTTCAAAATGGCTGAGAAGGAAACAAATTTGTTGATACCATGAATCGTGAATTGCAGAACTCACCAATCAAGCGACCCCAAGTAGTATCCTATTACATCTCATCTGTGGGCTCAAGTTTGAAATGTTCCCCAGTCAAACCTCGTTTGGTTTTATGTTTTGTCATTCCTTCTGGTTTTTATACACCCACATGGAAATGTGGACGTATATTGCCGTCGCCCCTATCCATTTCTTGTGAACACAATAGAGACTAGAGTTTTCAACTGATTTTAATGAAATAAGGTGTGATCATTTATATTGATGAGATCATGGTCAAGTTCGAATTTGACGATCTTTCGATGAACTGTTTTTGAGTTATTGCCCTTGACTTAAGATAAACGCGGCAAAATTTGTTTGTGAACACAACAGAGACTACAGTTTTCAACTGATTTTAATGAAATTTGGTGTGATCATTCATATTGATGAGATCTTGGACAAGTTCGAAATTGAAGATATTTCGATGAACGATCTTGGAGTTATTGCCCTTGAATTACGAAAAACGCATCAAAATTTGTTTGTGAACACAATAGAAACTTCAGTTTGTAACTGATTTGAATGAAATTTGGTATGATCAGTTATATTGATGAGATGTTGGTCAAGTTTGAATTTGACGATCTTTTCGATGAACGGTTTTTGAGTTATTGGCCTTGACTTAAGAAAAACGCGTAAATATTTGTTTGTGAACACATTAAAGACTACAGTTTTCAATTGATTTGGTGTGATCATGTATATTGATGCGATAATTTGATGTATTTGGGATATTGATATTGATTTTAAAAAATTTGATGAAAATTCTCAGTATAAATAAATGGCAGTAAGTATATATATCATTGAATTTAAACTAATAAAATTTCTTCAATATGAGAAAATTCGTACTTTAGTCACTAAAGACTGTTATATCATTTCTGAACGCTGCCAGTGGGCGTATGTTACCTTGCCTGACAAAATGAGTGTTTGTGAGATGGGAATCTATTTTTACGTAATGATGACTTTATTTCAGGAAACCTAAGCCAATAGATCTTGAAATATTACGTACAATGAAGATTTATCACAATGCAGGGTATGCACCCAACCCGGGTAAAGAACGTCGAAATCAAGTACCATATAAACTCAATAAAGATAAAAAATCTAACAATTCCAGTGTCCCTGAATCTCCACTGGGCAGAGGTCAGTTAAAAAGTTTGGCACCTTCCTAGGATTTCAAAATTTTAAACAGCTTACTTTGTTCATGTCTTGTTTTGAACAAATTGGATACGAGGCTCATAAATTACGTCATCTAGTGAAATCATGGCGACAGCATATTTAGGAATATAGCGTATGTGATGTCACTGAACACCTTTTTATACGCCCACACGTAAGATGGGCGTATATTGTAATCACCCTGTCGGTCCGTCCGTCCGTTCATATTTGGCTCGTGCTCACTCTACAGGCTACAGTTCTTTATGGATTCTTTTGATTTTTATTTTGTATGTCAATGTTGTTATGAAGATGATCCCTATTGATTTTCGTGATGATCGGATAATTTTTCACGGAAATATCCTGTCTGACTTGACATTTACTCTATATTGTGCTCGTGCTCACTCTACAGGCTACAGTTCTTTACGGATTCTTTTGATTTTTATTTTGTGTGCCAATGTTATTATGAAGATGATCCCTATTGATTTTCGTGATGATCGGAAAATTTTTCACGGAAATATCCTGTCTGACTTGACGTTTTACTCTATTGGCTATATTGTGCAATTCGTGCTCACTCTACAAGCTACACTTTTTTACAGATTCTTTTGATTTTGATTTTGTGTGTCAATGTCATTATGAAGATGATCCCTATCGATTTTTGTGATGATCGGATAATTTTTCACCAAAGTATCCTGTCTGACTCGACGTTTTACTCTATTAGCTATATTGGGCTAACTTGTGCTCACTTTACAAGCAATCAAAGCTATCTGTGGGCGTATGTTACCTTGCCTGGCAAGCTATATTTGAATACATCAAATGCAAAGCTCATAACGCAAATTATATCATCTTGTGAAAGATGGCGATGTCATATGAAGGAATAGGGTATGTGATGTCACTGAACACCTTTTTGAACACATCAAATGCAAATTACGTCATCTTGTGAAAGATGGCTATGTCATATGAAGGAATAGCGTATGTGACGTCACTGAACACCTGATCAACAGCACCTTTTTTTATATGTTTCTTATATAGGTGAAGATGCCTTTGTCTTGGTACCAAGAACTTATAAGAAATTGGAGATGAAATATTCAAAGCTAGGCCTAGCTGATTTTGACTTCCGACATTATAATAAAACGAAATTCGCTGGTTTAGAAACACATATACCTAATGCTTATTGTAATGCCATGTTACAGGTATGTTCTTATCAAAATTATACCCAACTTTTCGTTCCAAACTTTTTGCTTCATTTTTATACGCCCATACGAATATGTGGTCGTATATTGTCGTCGCCCCTGTCTGTCGGTCTGTCCGTCCGTCAACATTTCTTGTGAGCACTATAGAGACTACAGTTTTTATCTAATTTTGATGAAACTTGGTGTGATGCTTTAGATTGATAAGATCTCGGTCAAGTTCGAATTTGACATATTTTTGATGAACGGTTTTTGAGTTATTGCCCTTGACTTAGAACGCCTTGAAATTTGTTAAAAATTGTTTGTGAGTAGGATTGAAGCTACAGTTTTCATCCGATTCTGATGAAGTTCTAACTTGACACATTTTCAATGAACGGTTTTTGAGTTATTGCCCTTGACTTTGTTAAAACGCGTCAAAATTTGTTAAAAATAGTTTGTGAGCAGGATTGACGCTACAGTTTTCAACCGATTCTGATGAAACTTGGTGTGATCATTGGAATTGATAAAATCTCGGACAAGTTTTAATTTGACGCATTTTCAATGAACGGTTTTTGAGTTATTGCCCTTGACTTTGTTAAAATGCGTCGAAATTTGCTAAAAATAGTTTGTGAGCAGGATTGACGCTACAGTTTTCAACCGATTCTGATGAAACTTGGTGTGATCATTGAAATTGATAAGATTTCGGACAAGTTCTAACTTGACGCATTTTCGATGAAATGTTTTTGAGTTAATGCCATTAACTTACGAAAAATGCGTTAAAATTTGTTTGTGAGCACAATAGAAGCTACAATTTTCAACCGATTCTGATGAAACTTGGTGTGATCATTGGAATTGATAAGATCTTGGACAAGTTTTAACAAGAGATATTTTTGATGAACATTTTTTGAGTTATTGCCCTTGACTTTGTAAACACGCATCAAAAGTTGTTTTTTGCCCTTGATTAGAGCTGTGTGATTTAATTGTTTGTTGTATTTGGGTTATTGATATTGATTTTAAAAAATTTTGTGGAATTATTCAGCATGAATAATTTCTTCAATATGA